ATAGATTTTCATTTTGGAGAAAAGTTTTGGGCAGCCTTGATATAAACTGAAACAGCTAAACTAGTGCATCCTAAATTTAACATAAATTAATTATTTTAGTACAACTGTCATTTCTGCAGTTTTTGGGGAGGTCACCTCCTAATAAATGTCGTTACAGAAAATCTAACTGCTCATTTTAAATCAATACTTTTACTATTAATACTTAAGTACAAAAAATATCAGATACTTTAAGACTTTTACTCAAGTAATATTCCCAAAGGAGACTTTAAGTTTTACCAAAGTAATTTTTTTGGTAAGATACTTGTTCTTTTACTCAAGTATCACTTTGTGGTACTTTATACAACACTGCTAAAGATTAAAGAGCTCTTCACATTAAGCTAACTTACGTCACAGATGGAGGTCAATCTGCTGCCAGAAATGGAAGAGGAAGAGGACGACACAAAGGCTGTCCGTCAGGTAGATGACTTCAATTTCAGATTGGTTTAAACTTAGTTTTGACCACTATATACTTTTTTATGTTTAAAAAACATTTTTTGTCTTTCTTTTGCATCTGATTATAGTTACTTATCCAGTGTGTGGGTTTATCTGGTGTAATTGAGGAATCATGGACAGAAGACAACTTGAAGTTGCTGGATCGATTTATTTTGAACACAGAGATCCCATCTGTGGTAATTTATGTGCATAAATCCAGTGGGCTTCGAGTGGACTACAGAACCCCTTTACCGGTACTTTTTTATATATATTTTTTTAAATCATCTGTTCATTAGCAACGTTATAATGTTTTGGATTTTTCATTATAGTTTAGTTTTATTTTGTTGTGACTTTTTTCTTTTAATTTAGTTAGTTTTAATTCGTTTTTACAGTGGATTAGCTAGTTTTTAGTTATTAATGCATTTTTAATGCTTAGTTTTAGTTTAATTTAGTTGGCAGCCGGGGCTACTTATTTGTTGCCTCTCTTTAACCCTGTGCACAGCTTGGTTACAGCCAATTCTGTGATTTATTGTCCGTTGTTTGTGGCGGCCATCTTTAATAGTTTTCCATAAATGGTAATCAGTAGATTCAGAAATTGTAATAACCTTTTTTGTTTTGTCAATTATTCTTTTCTTCATCTGAATCTTGTTTTCGTAGGAGGAGGTGGTTGATGGGCCGTGCTACATCACCCGCATACCAGGAGCCGTGATCATGGAAGAAACGTTTGAGGCGGCTGTACAGTTTCACAGGGTAAAGGGTGATCCCCTCCACGCTCTGCTTGAAGACATGACCTGCCTACCCGCCCCCCTAGTGGCCAGGTTTAAGGTCGACTACATCGAGAACATGGACTGCTTCATCAAATTACAAGTGAGCAAATGTTTCTTTGGTGTGGAAGAGCACTGCATTGACCAAAAAACATAATAAATTAGACTTCTGATCTCATAATTATGAGAGACAAGGAGAGTTATAGCTGATCTACACCAGTGGTTCCCAAAGTTGGGGTCGGGACCCAAAGTGGGGTCCTGAAACATCAAGGTGGGGTCCTGAAAATATTTTCTGAATTAATTACGTTTTTGCCTTAGTTGTTACAAATGAGTGAGGTTAGTGTATTTAAAATTGATAAATGTAGTATAAAAATATTGTTACTATGCCCATGTTTTGTTGACCTGATACAAATGTTTATCATCCTAAAACAGTTGGGGGCACAGGTCTCTGCTACTGTTATTTTGTGGGTCAAAAGCTGAAAAGTTTGGGAACCACTGCACTTTGGTTCCCAAAGTTGGGCTTGGGACCCAATTATGGGTCATGAAGCACCTTGGATAATCTCCAGAAATCAATTTAAAAGGTAATAAAAAATTGCTGACGTAATCCTTTCTCTATAATTATTGCAAAAACACAAAATAAGTAAAAATAAGTATTTGTATTTGTGTACAAGCTGTTTAGATTGTCCAAAATCTTGTGTTTTTAGGGTTATTTAAGAAGTTCATGTACTCAGACCAGTAATGCAGTATTTGGGGTCACAAGTTTTTGCCATGGATAGTTTGTGGGTCAGAAGATAAAAAGTTTGGGAACCACTGATCTACAATACAGGCAACGTGAACAAAAACTGCACAATTACATTTTATATGATTTTATTTCCTCTTAGGCATGAGATATTTGGAAATATTAAGTTTATTTAAAGTGGATGGTGTTGTGTCTGCAGGTTTAAAATGTCCTGATGCATCTCAGTAATCCAGGTAAAAAATCAAAAAGAAAAAAATTGTATAGGTCTTCTGGACGGGTTCTTCTTTAATGAAATGTTGCGTCTCTCCAAGAGGAGAGACGAAACGTTTCATTAGAGAAGAACCCGTCCAGAAGACCTATACATTTTTTTTCTTTTTGTCTGCAGGTTTGTTAATAAATCCACCTGCACATTAGTCTAATAGAGTTCTGTTTAATTCAGCTTTGGCAGATTCGGCACAAACATAACCGTCATTTAGCTGGTAGTGATACTTCCAGTTTCAGAAAGTGGGCATTTCAAAATAAGAGTTTGATTCAATACAGTCCTAACAAAACATGACAGATGGCATTAATATTAGTATGTTGACATTACGCAGGTATCATCCTTGTAGTTGTTCAGCTGGAAATCCCTCTCTGACCTGCTGGAAGCCCACTCTCTTCCTGCAGAGAACGATACGGCTATAAGCAGCTAATGCATCTGAAATGCTTAAATTACATCCTGTATGTACACAACGAGCACACACTTCCTCCTGTTTCAACCCTGCAGGTCACAACTTTATTCAAGTCTGGTGGATAAACATTATACAGCTTGTTCTGGGCACAAGTCCAGGACCGGTACCTGCTCAAAATCCACAGAAGATCAGGATCTCGTAATTATGACATAGTTTCTCCTAATGTTGAGATCAGGAGTCTAATTTTTTTAATTTGGTGAATGCAGTGCTCTTCCATACTTTGGATAGATGTCAAACACATGATAATATTTTAACTATACAATGTTTTAATGAGAGTTTGACCCACAATGTTGACAATAAAACAGGGCTATTCAACTGGCGGCCCAAAGTTTGGCCCACCTAGTAGTTCATTCATCTCTTAAGACCAAACTCCCAGTTTTCTACTTTAATTACTCTAAGTTCTTTTAGTTAAACATAGACATGTTTGGTATCTACATAAACGTCAGAATCTTTGCTAGAAGCTGGTAAAAAACATTTCTGTGCACAATCAAGATAAAACTAGGAAAGTGAAAATAAAATTGGTTTCAAATTTTGAAAAAGTCAGAGGTGTCGAAATAATATTGTGTCAAATAGGAGGCAGAATGTGTTTGTTTGATTATCACTACTTTTATAGGATTCTGTTTGTTGTATTCATGATTAAATACACGCAATAAATCTTTAAAGCAAAGTGAGATTCGCAAATGCTTTCATGTTATTGTCGTTCCATGCTGTCCAGGATCGCTTCCTGCAAGCAGAGTCGAACAAGAAGTTCCTGTCCATCCTGAAGGAGCCGTGTGAGGAGCTCTCCCAGCTCAAGCCCAGACATATCCCCTCAAAGCTGGAGCACATTGTCAGTCTCATTCGTATCATCTGGAACAACTGCCCCCACTATAACAGCAGCAGCAACATCACTGAGCTCTTCTGCCAGGTACTCAGGTCATGAGGTTCAGTCCACATGACCTTTTTTTCCCTTTCTGCTACTTGCTTGAATTGCTGCTTGTAAGCCCACACAGTCATCACTATTTACACTTTGTTTCCTACACAACTGGTTCAGATGGTTCTGTTTTTATTCAGCCTCATTATAACAGGAGCCCATCGAGCTGAGGTACTGTGACACTCGATGTATCCAGTAGAAAAACCTCTATCAACACTTGTGTTTTTATTTGCTGTGACCTGACCATATTGATACAAAAAAAAGAGACATCCTCATTTAGCCCCCCCACACTTCCTTTTATTTTTATAAAGCAAACAGATGCAGCTCAGCAGCGTGTTTACAAAGAGCAAGCCTCCCTCACGTAATAAGCTAATTTTTACCTAATTTCCCTCTGGGATCAATAAAGTATTTTTGAATTGAATTTTGAATTGAATAAGCTAAGTGATAATAGCCTCGTGTGTAAGAGCGACGTGCTGTAACGTAATAACTCCCACCCTGTTTGGCTCTGAAGCATGTTAAAAAAGACTTGACCCCCTCACACCGCCTCTGTTCTTACAAACAATATGCAGCAAATATAAAGCCCTAAACAATCAGCTCTGTTCATCATCAGAGGCCTTTTTGTTTTCAAAAGAGAGGTAAATAAGAGAGGTAAACATTATACAAAACTAAAAAGAACTGCTTCTGATCAAAGTTCCACTTTGTACAAAACTAAACTGAGAGGAAATGTCTATGTTTTGATGTTAAAACCGTATTAGAAGGAAAATCACAAAAAAAAAGGTTAAAGCATCTGTCTGGCTCACCATAGTAGCCAAATCTGAGTGTCTCACTCCCTGGCTTCACATTTTAAAGAGGCAGACAGAAACAGACTGAAAAATAAGCCTCAAAAGAAACAATCGCAGTGGGCAAACAACAGATTATACAAGTTCCTGGGGCCTCATTTCTAAAGGATTGCATAGAAGTCATACTAAAAGTGAACGCACGGCCAAAAGGTGAAAATGGCGTACGCCAAAAAAATTTCATATTTATAAAATCGTGCGCACGCACACCTTCAAGCAATTTTCCTTTATAATCACAGCTGCACCTCAGAGTTTGTGCACAAGATCCCGCCTCAGGTTCTGCCCTCTACACGCCCACTCCACATCAGTGCAACGTACCTCATGAATGTTAAGGTGTATTAAATCAGTCAGCTGATCAATGTCAACCAAGGCAATTGGCCGGCGCAGACACGCTCTGTCATGCATCTGGAGGAGGACGTGTGCTGACGACTGCTCACACAAACACATAACCTGTAATATAGACAGATTTTCTCTCATTTTGCAGGAATTCAGACGTTTAGAGCAATCTCACAGATCCTTTCAAAAACTCAGCTTCAAATTTATTTTCTCCTAGAGCCTGTTGGATGTTAAAAAGCAATAAATATAATTAAATAACCCAAACATCGCTTCCACCATGTTGTCACTAGAAATGCGTTCACCACTCTCCTCACCCATCCTCCCCCTCTGAGGAGGAGGGAGGCCAGGAGGGAGTTGGATGGAGATGCGTGAACTTTTATATAATATTTCGAATGGATATGATATGGAAAGCAAGGAAGTGCCTCTAAGTAAAGTTTTACTTTCCTAAAATGTAAAACGTTGTGTTTGCACTGCTGGAGCCAGGCACACTTGTAGATTCTCTGTTTAAATTAAAAGATTACAATCGATGACAAATTGTGTATCTGAAATTCAGTTCATCGGTCTCAAAATATGCAACAAAATCAAAATAAGAATTCAGACATGTAAAGTCAAACTTTCCGTAATCTGTTTAAACTTTGAATGGTGGTTCCACTTTGAGTTATGCCAGAGTTATAGAGCTCCACAGACCCAAAATCCCATCCTTTTATTCTTTTTTCACAATTTTGTGCCTAATTTTAATTTTGTCTACGTTATGCAACGTTCCATTACTGAAAGACATTTTGTTGTATTGTTTGTTTGTTTTATTTTTAATCTGCATGACAAAAATAACCAACAACTAATAAAGTGCTTCTGCTTTGGCCCCCTAACGTATGTTCTAATTCAGGGGTTCTTAACCTATCCGCGAACGCCATCTTGAGGGCCTCAAAAGAACAACAGTTTTTAACTTTGGGCCGCAGAGGGCCGCGGGACCGCATTGATTTTGAATAAGGTGCAATACACATTTTTACCACTAGTAGCGGTAGTGCACCACTCCGATATTTAACAACTTTTTTTAATACGTAGAAGAAGAACCTTAGAAACCTGCTGAGAATGGGAACATATTTTAAATTAAAAGTAGAAGCAAAAATGAAAGTAACTCATCAAAAAATGTCAAAGTTTGTCACTAATATGAAGTGCAGCTTCTGTTTTTACCATGCAATATTTTAAATGTTCAAAACATTATCAAATACAGTTGCAGATACAACTATATTTTAATTTGCACTTTAAATTAATTTTTGTAGTTTACTTTTAAACATTTTGAATGTATTTTAAAGAAAATTTAAACTTGTCAAAAAGCTGTTGTTACTGTTATTGTTTGTCTTTAATATGAAGAGCAGCTTCTGGTTGCAAAAGTTTAAAAATGCTATATTTTAATTTGTACTTTATCAAATTTATTTTTACATATTTTTTTATTTGAAACATTTGTAAACGTTTGTCATAATCATGTCTTGTGATTATTTAACAGGAGTTTTACTTTTAAACTTTAAGTTTATTTAATTTAGTTATGATAGTTTAGTTGTGATGTAAATACAATAAAAATTAAACCAAGATTTAGTTTAGAATAATTATAATTTTGATCCATACATTGGTAATGTCTGACTGGGTCTCGTCCCACTTTATATTCAACAAATTGGGCCTCGAGGTCAAAAAGTTTAAGAACTCCTGTTCTAATTCACCACTGTTTGTGACTGCTGTCTCCTCTTCCCTCTGTTCCAGACTTTTTAAACTTGTGTTTCATCAGACTTAGTTAAAAAATGGTTTTACGTTATCCCCCTCTCGCAGTGACAAACTCTTGTGTTCTGCAAATTTTCAGATGAGTAATGAGATTGTGCGTGTGTGCACACAAAGCCTCTCCCTGCACAAGATGTTTGATAATTATTCATCCTCCATCAAGCAAGACCTGGAAGACTGTGTCCAGTGCTGCGTGTCCTGGAAGGACACTTACCACCACGTCTCACAGATTCATCTCAAGTAGGAGAAGTTTTCAAACATTTCCTCATAAATGTTGTAAATCATGACTTTAATGACTTCAGCTTGAAACTGATTTATCAATAAAGATGCAGTTAGTAGGTTGGATAAATATGGTTTAATTCAAAAACAGACAACAATGTAATTTATGCTATTTGACTTGTTCAGAGTTTTGTTTACATTTAAGCCTTTTTAATTGGTTTCATATAAATGTTGTGTTATTTACATCAAGTTTCAATCCTGGTAAAGTAAACTAATCGTCCACTGTTAGTAAAAATACAGTAGCCAAGAAAGGACATGCTTAGAAACGTATTTTATGACGTTATCTATTCAATTCAATTCAATTCAGTTTTCAATTCAGTTTATTTATATAGCACCAAGTCACAACATATGTTGTCTCAGGGCACTGTACATGAAAAAGAATCATCTAAAGAAGATGCCAGCAGATTGTGTTGAATCACTTCATCACAGTCTCCCATCCTGAGCAAACGGTGGAGAGGAAAAACTCCCTGCTAATCAGGAAGAAACCTCCAGCAGAACCAGAATTATCAGATAAGGGTTTAAATATCTCATTATCCTGAGATATCAGCGCTCGCTTTCTCAAAATAAGTTAAAGTATTTATCTTATTATCTTGAGAAAACAGCTTAGATAACGCCTTGTTTATATTATTTTTTTACTTAGAAAAGCTCCTTTATTTATGATACGTTTTTTCCCCTAAATATTTGCATTTCAAATGATTTAAGCTGCAAATATCCCGTAAAGAACACTCCTCACTGATCAGGCAGTTGCTGTTATAAACTATCTCCAAGTGTCACAGCAGTGATGCCAAATGATGAAACTGAGTGAAACATGAGCCACTGGTTTCCACACTATAATCAACTCATTGTTTAAAAACAGCCTGTTGTCTTCAGATAACCCCTGATCTCGATAAGATAAAACAAGCTTAGTTATCTTGAGAAAATGGGACAATTAAAAAAAAATCACATTAAAATTAATAATTGCTGCTGCAATTGTTTCCAAGCTCTGTACGAAAACAATGAGTTTCTTCCTGATCAATAAGAAACAAGTCTGATTTTATTATTAAAATTTGTCACAACGATGACATCCTTAGCTCAAAGTTAAGGAATAACACTTCTTTTATCTCTAAAATGACCCAAAATCATTTTTCAATAAGTTCTGTTTGATTGGTCGGTTCTGCTTTTAGAGGCCAATTTCTCAGTGACTAAAGCTGAAAATATATTTGCAAAAGTGAGAATGAATGAATGAATGAATGAATGAATGAATGAATGAATGAATGAATGAATGAATGAACGAACGAATTTGGTCACATTAAAGAACACTCCACACAAAAACAAACAAAACTTTAACCCTTTATGACCAAATAGGTAAAGGCAGAAGCCAATGGCTTGTTGTGCCTCACCTTACAATTCATAATGGATTCCCCAAAACAAAATACACAAAAAAACACACTTACTTCAACTACATCCTGGTTATATGCACCATTTTTTATACACAAAATACAAATCATTAATACAGTTTTTTTAATCAACAATAGCATTAGTATTGTCCGTACATGCAAAAAAATGTCATCTATTAGCACCACCGTAACAGACCACTACGCTTGAGTTTTAATTTAAGGATGAAGATTTATTATATTGGAGGATTTTTTTACATTAAATATTTTTGATTTAAGTGTTTTTATGTTATATTCACAGTAATAAGAGTTGTGTGCAGTCATATTATTTTTGCTGTACCTAGCAGCCAGAGGTGGGCACAGTTCCCCTAAAGCACTAATAAGGGAACTAATTTCCTGATTAGCGCTTTTGGGCTTTTGCTATTTTTTTAAATTCATAAGTGGATTAACACTTGCTAAATTTATCGGCTAAATTTAGAAGCACTAACTGAGGTTTTTAAATGTTATTGATCAACATAATTGTTCACAGTTGAGGGCGAAAGCTGTTACACATTTTGTTCATATGTGTGTCACTTATCTACAAGGTCACATGTCAAAGTCAAGGCCCGCGGGCCAAATGTGGCCTGCAGTTGACTCCTATTTGGCCCGCAAATGGCACTAATTAACATTCTGCACACAGTAAACATTGTCTCATGTTGACTGAGGAATGTTCCATAGGTTAACTAGGTTATATTAGTGCTTTAGAATTAGTTTTTGCTAACATTTTCAGTGTTAGTGCTTTAGAATTAGGGGACCTAAATATATGAATTAGTGCTTTAGAATTAGGGGACCTAAATATTTGAGTTAGTGCTTTAGAATTAGGGGACCTAAATATTTGCGTTAGTGCTTTAGGGTTAGTGCAAATAATATTTAGATTAGTGCTGCCCAACACTGCTACCAGTGCGTTATGTAAGTGGACCTATTATGGTTTTTTGAACAAGTTAGGATACATCTGTACGCTAAACAAAACATGTTCATTAGATTTATTTTACAAAATCAGTTTCAGATAATGAGATTTCACCTGGGCACTTCCTCAGGCCGTCTAAATGACAAATCATATTCTTGCCAAACAGCAACACTAAACACACAACTCATCACTTACCGCCATCATCTGCAGATTTGTGAGGAACAGTGGGGACAGAAGTATCCTTCAGCTGAAGGTCCTTTGGGTAATTCCTGCTGTGGGCTGGTGGAAGTTTCCATATTAGTGAAACTATTCACACAAACTCTAACTTTATTTGCTAGAACACTGCCATCAAAAATGAAAATAAAATGAAGCCACGCATCTCTGTTCTCCATGACAGCAGAACAAACTTAGTCGTCCTGTGAAGAAGTGGGCGGAGTCTCCACTTGAGTTACCAGGTGAGGGGCTGAGCTCGCCTTGGCGTTGCTAGCTTACCCGGATTGTGACGTAATAATCCGCAGGTTTTTGAAACAACTCGTTTGCTGACTCTAACAAAACATTTACATATTGTCAAAAAACAGCTGGGAGTATTTTTTTGGTGCACTGCAAACACGCTGAACCACTTTGTAAACCGCCTCTTTAGTTCCACCTTATTGTGAAATAAACCTTTTGAGGTTTTAAGTCAATTAAACGGGACCTATTGTGCAAAATTCTATTTTTTTATATGTTTTTATGCTTCACATTTGGTTTGTACTGCGTCCAGAAACAGTCCAAGTGTCGTTTTTCATTCTCCCCTACCAGGCATTCTCACAAAGACTGGGTCGTGGATGAAACAAAGGCGTTTTGGGTGATTGATGTGTTCATTAGGAGGCTCAGAAACCTGCTCAAGGTGATTCTATTTATTTATTTATTTTTGGTTATTCACTCATACCGACTGATTTCAAATTGATGCCCGAACCAAGTGATTCTATAAAAGACCTGCTGAACTTTGTACAAAATAACCCACGTGATGAATTAGTTTGTGCCGGATGTAGTAATTACGGGCCTTCGCCGTTTCCAGTTATACCAGCTTCACTTGAACACTTCTGTGAGAAAGGACAGTATTGAAGAGTTTAGACCGCTTTTGGTTATCAAGGAGTGGCAGCTAAAAATAAAAAAGAAAAGAATTGTGTCAAACTGTTGGTCCTCTGTCAGGTTTGTGAGTACCAGCACCTGTTTGCCCGCTGGATGGAAGGTTGGCAGAGAGACATACCAGAGCTGACTCCCAGGCTTGAGCAGATCGAGGCTGAATTCCATCGCTGTCTGCAGAACCTGCGCTCTATTGATGAGAGCATCCTCAGCGTCAGAGATCCCACACAGAACGATGACTTAGACAGGTTGATCTGCTGCTTTAATGCTGCTTATTCAGAGTTATTGTGTTAGAAACTTTATTCTTTTCATCTGGATCTTTTTCTGTTTTTTTTTTTCTGTTTTTTTTTTTTTACCTTAAATGAGTTGCTGATCTATGAATGAGGATTAGGACCTTTTTTTCAGTGGCCCTAATCCTTTTGTACTGATCTAATGCACACTTTTTTGTTGTTTTTATAGAAAGCGTCACTATGTGTTTTTTCTGTGTGCGTTCGCAGTTTTTGTGCATTTGTGGAGCAGCTGGAAATGCTCCTGAGGAACCTGATAAATTTAGCGTTTAAGTCCGTGAACACAGTTCAGGAAGGACTCCGACTTCTGGATATTTTCAGGCCCGTGTCGTCAAGCGAGGTGAGGTATCTCTCTAAGGGCTAATTTACACTACATGCGTTCCGGCTCCGCTCCGCTCCGGTCAGACCTCCGCAGCAAATACGCACCCATTATAATCAATGAGAATATTTACACTGGTTCCGCACGGCGGCAGTGGGCGGCGGTGAGCGGACGGCGATCCGTCAAAATTAGATCCGATCCTATTTCTGTCGGACGCCGGAGTCAGTTTATAAAGATTATGTTGCACCAACAGGAAGAAGAACAAGCACAACATCCGTATTTTCAAAATAAGACATGATGATTTTGTCGAAATTGCAGCTATATTAATAAATATATGGATATATTTCTACACAAATGCTGTCAGAATGTATCGTTCTGTTTGGGAAGCAGATGGCAACATGTAGATGAAGCATATGTGTACAAACGATACACGTGGATTTTATTTTGAAATGAGAAGTTTTAAAAAGACGACAGCGATGCAGTTTCAAACAGATATCAAAAGCTTTTATATCAATGTTTTCAGTTGTGTTTGGAGTTCATCTTTCATAGAAATAATTATTTTTTGCTCTGACTTCCACATTTATCACTGGATTTATCGCATGATCTCCTTCCTGCACACCCTCCCTCCTCTGTCTGTCGGACACGAGCGGAGCGGAGGCTGTTTAAATTGGGGCACAAACGAACTGCGCAGCGCAGTGCAGTGAAGCAGAGTCGCATGTAGTGTAAATCCGGGGTAACAGCAACACAAATCTTTTTCAGCTGTTTATTCTTGTGACGTCCTTCTGGTTTGTTTCAAGTTCAATAAAAAAAAAAAAAAGCTTTTATCTGTAACTTTTCTGTTTGTCCTTTATAAACTCTCTCTCTCTTTCTTGTCCACTAAAGGACATCAAACACTTATGGGAAAAGAAGGCAGAGGAAGTGTACAGCATATTTAATGAAGAGCTCAAACTGGCAGGAGAGGAACTGAACCAGAGGGATTGGTACACTCCGGACCACGTGCCAACGTTGGTGAGCCACATTCAGAGGACCAGAGGCCTCAAACAACACTTAAATGGACTTATGGAGGTACGTGCTGCTTCAGTTGGAGAACACAAACCAGCCTGCAAAATGAAGAGCTCTGGCTTGCCTCCTCTTTTTTACTTTTAGCTCCTTCAAAAGGCCTACTTCATGTCTGATTCTCCCAGCCGGAAGCAGATAAGCATTACCCACGGCCAGCTGGTCCAGGTGTTAGATGAGATTGTGAGGAAAAACTACTTAGAGTGGATCCAGAAGCTGGACAGACAGATTTACATGAAACTGAAGCAGCCGCTCCTGAAGTGCCACAACGACACTTTCTCCACACTGACTGTCAACTTTGACAAGTGGGTCAACAGCAACAAATCACTGCATTGTCACTGTGTTTTAACGCTTAAAGTTATTTATAGATATAGTATACTTATTTATATTATTAATAGAAATAAGTGCTTAGTGGCAGGGGTGCCACCAAGGAGAGGACCAGGTGGGCCAATGGCCATGAAAAAAACAAACAAAAGTTTGTAGAAATTGATGTTCAGTTTGTGGATTGTTATGGTGCGTTCACACCAAACGCGATTTCAGCGTCAGGAGCAGCAGGTTTACATGCAAAGTCTATGGTGGACGCGCTTCAAGCAACGTCGGGAAGTTCTGCGGCGCCTCAAGCGCGATTAGAGCAGCGCGATTTGGACGATTTGGACGATCTGAGCGTCGAACGCTCAGATCGTCCAAATCGTCCAAATCGCTGAAGTTGGGAAATCTGAACTTTTGCAGCTCGACGCGCAGCGTCAACCAATCAGAGAGACTCCACTGTGTGACGTAGCGACATATTTCCCGACGGGACAGTTTACTGAATGAGGTCCACTAACCTGAAACAGACGGAGCTCCTGCTCTTTAGCTGAAATGAGTGCTGCAGTCGTGTCCTGATCCGCAGCAATGTGTGGCAGCGACTCATCAGACTGAAAAAATAGTCCTGAAAGCAGCTGTGAGCCTCTTCTCTGAATTATCTGGTGAATTAATTATGAATTAATTATCTGATGAACGTGACACGTTCTGGCTGTCTGTAAATAAAGCAAAGCCACTTCCTCGTCCGACATTAAACAGAGCCCGACAGAGGAGGGAGGGGCGGGGCGGCTGTCGCCGTGCAGCGCAGATGTCCTGCGTCTGACCTCAAAGTGCACAAGCTTCAAACTTCAGCGTTGGCTGCGATTTTGAAGCTGAAATCGCGTTCGGTGTGAACGCACCATTAGTCGTCACGTGTTCTTCTGTGCAGCAACCTGTTGATTTTGCTTTCTGAGATCCATTACTTGGAGCAACAGAAGTTTGACATCCCCCAGAATGTGTCTGACATATACAAGAACATGGAGGACATCAGAGTCTTGAGGGGGAATGTGCTGCTGCTGGTCAAGAACTACCAAAGGTCTGATACGCTCACGAAAAAATAAACTAATCTGATTTAGGATTCAGAGCAGCCACACTGCCACTTGTTACACACCTTTGTCCGTTCCAGGACTGAAAACAGAAAACGTGCTTACTGTAGCTTCTTCTAACTCTTTACGTTTATGTGATTTATTTGTCAGGATTCTAAGAACGCTGTCCCCAGAAGAGCTGAATCTGTTTCAGGATAAAATACGTTCCATGGACCAGAAGATTCAGCCGGGTTTGACAAAGCTGACGTGGTTTACTAAAGCAGCTTCTAACAACTTCACCAATGACTGTCTCCTCTACACTGACAAGGTTGTAACGCACTCTATTATTATTAATTTATTTCTTTTTTAAATGTCAGTAAGGCAACACTTTATCCTCACCGAGCAGCTTCTGTTTTTCCTCTTTTTAAAACCAGATCCAGTCATTTGTCGATGAGTACAATGCATGCGACCTGTCCATCTCCAAACTTTGTTTGCAAATTAGTGAAACGTTGCTGGTAAACATCAATGGCAAGACTGTGTACAGGTAGGATTTCCTCTTTATTCATTCCCTAAAAGAACTCATATCCTCAGTGGTTCCCAAAGTAGGGGTCGGGACCCACTGTGGGGTCCTGAAACATTAAAGTAGGGTCATGAAAATATTTTCATAATTAATTACATTTAAAAATGACTACTAACAATATATTTTTTGCATTATTGTTACAAAAGAGTGAGGTTAGTGTACTTAAAATGAATAATAGCACAATGATTATTGTTTCTATGCTCATATTTATTTGACCAGATACCAATGTTTATCAAACAAAAATAGTTAGGGGCACAGGTCTCTGCTACTGTTATTTGTATGGAGGACCGAAACTGGCATAATTAGAAATGAAAGCAGAAATATACAAATGGATCAATACATAAGTAAATACACTTAAAAATGGCAATTAATTTAAACAAGAAGAACTTTACCTCATGTTTTGTAATTTGATTGACCTTCATATTTATTTTTCCAGCTTAATGATATATTTTAGCACATAATTTACAATTTCCTGTTTTAAAAAATATATTTTTTTGTTTTTACTTTTACTTGTAGATGTATTTATGTCTCTTAAATATTTATATAGAATTATTTTTATATATTTTTAAAAAATTTTTAGTCTTTTTATTTCCATGTGTTGCTTTTACATTTCTCTATTCCCCTGCTTTTATATTACCTTGTGCATTTCTGCCTCATAATGCAAATAAGGTGGGCGGAGCTTCTTGGGTCAGCTCCTCTCCTATTGGTCAACAGACTGGAAGGAGCAGGATCCATCTGCAGACCTACTGTGCATGCTGATGCTGCCTCAGTTTACCTTCAAGTTCAAAGTTTAGTTTAAAACAAAAGCGAGACAGAAAACACTTACCTGAGTCATTGTTTTAAAATAAACTTTAAAATGTAAAATATATATATATTTTTAAATTATATACACTACACACTAAATTCCTCTGTTCCATATAACACCAAAAAGCAGAACAAGTTACCTTCATAAACCTGAGTGACCAGTTATTTTTCTTCAGATTAAATCAACTATACTTTGATAAAAAGTTATAAAATATATGTTTTTGTAATAATCTATATAAGTGTCTGAGTTAGCCAGTTCTGTGTCTTCTTCACTGTGTGTATATTTGTTTAATGTTAAGGAATTTGGAGTTTGTGGATGACCAGAAAGCTCACCAGCAGAGCTGTCTTCAAATCTTGTGCTCACTGCACCAGGACATCGTTAACACCATGACCCACATCTACAGCATCTTTGATGATGATGGAGTTGAGGTAAAAGCTGTTTTCCTTTATTTTCTATAACTATTGGTTGCATTGCTTCATAAATGTTGACGCTCTTATTTCTGTTTATTTTTTAGTCAAATGTGGTTTGCATTTACTGTGTTAAAGGTCCAGGAGCAGTGGGTGGCCTACACAGTGAAGGTGGACCACATGGTAGAAGAAGCGTTTCACTGTAATATCAGGAACTCCATGAAGAAGCTATCCAGTGCCATCAATGGTGAAAACAAGAACGTGCCCAGCCCTTTGTTTAAAGTCCTGGTAGTTCTGCAGCAAATATCTGCTCAAGCCCCACCAAAGGTACGTTAAAGTACATTGTAAAATGGATAAAGTAAAATGGTTTTATTACATTATAATAGTAATAAACAAACGTAAAAACACGTGTTGATTTCGGCACTTCCGGTGGAGTATGTAGAAGCCTTCAAACAAACATTTATTTTTGGTTTTCTTTTCCACTCTCCCTGCTTGATCATAAAAAAAATTTAAAATCTCTGTTTTAAGAGAAAACAAAGTTTGAGACTGAAAAAACATCTCGTCTCTGACAGGTGGAGTTCTCACCATCTCTGAGCCAGCTCGTTCAGATGGTTGACATTTTGCCTCAGCTCATCAGTGTCATTTCAGAATTTAAACGACTCCCTGACCTTCTCACCAGCTCAGAGTCTGAGGAGAATCCCATCTACGTGAACATAGGTTGGAAGATTTTTGTTTGAAGTTCGTGTATACATATTGTAAATATGATCATTTTGTCTGCTTCTGTTTTTGCATCCAACTCCACCCGTGTTCTTTTTGATCCTTCAGAGCAAGATGAAGGGATTCGAAAGATCCAGGCTGACATTACAGCAGGGATGTCAGCCAATGCCAGCAACTTGCAGGTTTATTTGCAGAACTGGGATAAATACAGGGCCATCTGGGAGATGGACAAGAACTTCTTTATAAAGTGCTACAAGAGCAAGAACCCTCCAGTGTCTTCTTTTGACGTGGACATACAAAGGTACATCACTTTTATGTTAACCTGGCTCAAAAAGTTTATGGTTTCCTTTCTTTTCCAGGAGAAAAAAGCAACAAAATACAGTTTAATATTTACAAAAAGCTTTTTGTTTAATTATTTTGAAAGTTATTTATTTACAAATAGTTAATATTTAAACGCATAGTACGAACTGGTACATTCCTGCTACTTAACTGATCCATGCGAGGTACAGACATACACGTGGATTGTTTGTTTAAATTATATATATATATATATATATATTTTGTATTTTGATTATTATTTTGGTCAAAAGACTTGGATTTATTTTGACAAGTATTATTGTATTGTTATCAGTCCAGGTATTTACTGGCTACATATCAAGTATCTATAAAGTATAAATCTGGTACTTCCATAGTATTTACCTGGTACATCCTTGATACCTCTTTGGAATCTACCTGGTACTTTGTGTGTAATATTTAGTCCTACTAATAATGTAGTTAAGACCACCTAACCCAAGGCCAACACAAGACCAAGACTAGAGTGTATTGAGACTGAGACAAGACTAAGACTTTTAGGGTCTGGATCAAGACAAGAGCAAGACCTTGTACCCTAAAACATACAGTATGCTGTACACAGGTAGCTGACTAGGAATTTATATCTTAATTTTGACTAAATCTTTGTGAGTATTGTCAGGTAAAGAATTGTGTTACAGAAGCAGATTGCTAATGTTAGCTCACTCACTTACACCTAGCTTACCAAATATGTTCTGTATGATTTATGTAGCTGAGAGGAGGATTTTGTAGACATGTTCTCCTGCTCCCAAACAACCACTGCTCACTTTCTTGGAGTGTTGATTACAAGTGAAAGGCAGGGGTTGGGTGACAGCAGTAACAAAAATGCATAACTAGCAATGAGTCACTCTTGGATTTGTGTCAGAACGTTTTACATCCAATGAAAGCTGGAGGTTTATAGTACCTAAGTACATTTTCTTTGTTACAGTTCTTAAGTAGATTTTTTGAGGATTTGTAATTTTACCAATTATTTTTAAACAGGTACTTTTACTTTTATTTTGTTACATTTTAAAGTAAAAGTATCATTTTAACTTTGAAATGTAACACCTAGGTACTCGTTACAAAATTAAATATGTTGGAACTCATCATGAAATATTTTATGCGCTCTAAAAAATGAAAGGAATTTACTCAACAAAGTCATGTCAACTGACTCCAGTAAGCCTAGTTGAGTAAAATGAGTAAACGATATATGTATATTGCTCAATTTACTCAATCTGGTTTAGTGGAATCAGTTTGGTTCAGTTAATTCAACAATTTATTTCTTAGAGTGTGTGTGTGTGTGTGTGTGTGTGTGTGTGTGTGTGTGTGTGTGTGTGTGTGTGTGTGTGTGTGTGTGT